CGACAGTAAATTTCGTATCTGGTTGAATCTGGAGGATTTACTTTTGTTTTCCGTTCACAAGGCTGCTTGGTTTATGCCAGGAGACAACTTAAGCAGAGGATGGAATATCTGCAGAAATATGTGCTTCCGTTTTCACATGTGTTGTAAAATCAGTACATATCTGCAGGGAGTGAGAGAAGCAAATTCCTTTTTTAATTTTTTTTTTTTTTTTTTGGACAATGATTTGTAGCTTGATTCTCAATTACTCCAGTTTCCTGTTGAAGCAGCTCTGCTCATGTCAGGTAAGTTATCTTTAGCTGATACAGAGCAGAGATCACAGGCTCTGATCTCTGGCATATTTTGTTCTAGGAGAGATACCCTTTCTCTACAATCAAGTTTATAATTCTCACTGAAATAAAACACACACAGCGGTCATGTGGAATTTTTAAAGATTTTCACTCACCAGAACCTTCTCTCTCATAGAAAGCTGGACAAGACTTTGAAGTTATTTTTGCTAAAAATGGGACAAATCTACTATATACCCTCTTGGGAATATGATTCCAAAACACCAAATGCAGTTCTCAACCACGTGTATATATAATATGTCTTCAGGCTTTTTCCCTCCTCCAACAGTAATTGATGACTGTATTGCATTGGATTTTGCATTATATGACTGGTATCATGACTGGTATCACGACTGCACATTTGGCATGCTCTGGGGCAAAGTGGATACTGAAGGATTGTGACAAGTCTGTGGCCATTCCTCTGGGTACAGAGCTCAGTCAACAGCACAGCCTTACAGTCCTGGCCCAGACCCTTCAGTAAAATTAAGAAGATATATACGTATGTATGCTTCTGCCCTATTTTAAAGAAAAAATGAAAGGTCACTGCCACCTATAGACAAAACTGAGTATCAGCAGAAGTGATAGTATGCACATACAAAATGGTATCAAATTGGCAGAGCTTCAAGTGCCAAGCAAGTAGTGTCAGAGCTATTCGCTTCTGCCATCATATCTAGAAATTGCTGATGTAAAGACTATTGCGTCTGATTGCACCCATACGTGACTCTAGAGCTGCATAAACGAGCAACTCCAGCTCTGTCATGAACATGAAACGGTTACATTTTTCCTAATGTGCTCAGGCCTCTAGTTTGTATGAACAAATCCATTTTTGTCTCATTTGAAACACCTTCTCTTGAAGCTAAAATTATTAAATGTGGAGCCAAAGAGGTTTTCTGAAACATAAGGGCTCCCACAAGTCTCTCATTTGGAGTCTTTTACCATCTGTGCGCTTACGAAGACCACCATTTTGAATGTGGGCTGCCAGAAGCTGAGCACCAAGCCCCATCTTGGCACCCAGCTAAAATCCTCACATGAGCAAATGGATTTTCAAAAGATGCTGAGGACTTCCAGTGTGCAGTGACTTGCCTGAGAGTCGTGAGTCTTCGGGAGCTCTCAAATCTGGCCACACACTTGTTCCTAGAGGGAAGAATCAGACATTGTCAACCGCTGAGGACCTCTGTCCAGCTGTGAACCCTACACTATCTCTTGGGATAACTTGGGATGACTTGGTCTCTCCATTGAGTGTTTTTGCTGTCTTGGTTATTAATCATGGTTATTTACTAGCAGTAGAACCACGAGGCAGGACCTATTTGTGCCCTTTGTTCTACGTCTGAAAAGCACAAAGCTGGTCTCTGTAGTAAGCTGTGAGTATGGAGCAGACCTCCAACAGACCTGGGAGATGTTGCTGGCAAGATGTCTGTTTTATGAGAGAAGGTTTAACAACATTTATAGGGACAAGAAAATTTTTGGGGGTTGAGAGGGGAAAAGAGATGATGCTGATGCAAGAACATTTTTTTCAAAATGGGATGGAAACCCTTAGAATTCAGGAGGAACTGGAATAAGCTCATTCTCATCCTTAGGCTTCCTTTCTAGGTACAGATTTTTTGATTAAGTTTCAAGGATATTATCCTTGCAGGGGGCTCATTCAGACCAGCTGGAATGCAGCTTGACTGGTTTAAAAAGGAACATGAACTGCCAGCTTCCAGATCAGACACAGCTCTGAAACAGTTCCTTTCACAAATTATGCTTCACTGCTTCTATTGTAATGCAGAAAATAATCCAAAAGAAAATTTTTATTTTTTAGATTTTTTTTTCTATGAACTGTAGTGTGCCCCATGCACAAGCTCAAGGCTTGGTAAAATTCTCCTTTTTCTCTCACTCTCAAAAATAATTGTTTTGGTCCTGGCAGAGTGGTAAAAGCTTTGAACTATGAGAGAAAATTACAACAAAATCTGTCACCTGCTGTGTACTCTGGCTAAAGCCAGATAAGCCTGACCTTTCTAATGTATTGACCAACCTAGAAAATTACAATTGCCTGTGTCACAGTGTCTATTAATAAAAAAAGTACACAATTAATTCCTCACTAAAACTTGCCATGTGTTGTCCTTGAATTGCAGAAAAAAAGAGACAACTTTACTTAGTTCTCTTTGCATCTCATTTCTTTATAGGTATGCCCACTCTGCTGGTGTTGGGGAAAGACTTAAACAAATTCGCGTTTATTCCAGAGGCAGAGGAAGGACCTAGCGTGCATTAATTCATGCAAAAAGCAGCCTGCATTGTGGCCACAGGGCAAGGACTGGATCTTCAGCTCTTCAGTCCACCCCTGCCCTTTATCCTTCCTCTTGGAAAACGGGTGAAAACAGGGACATGTCAGCGTCCAGCTAGAAAGGCAAAAGCTCCTGTTCTGATTCACGTGAAGCCAAAGACGGACTATTCATAGGACAGAGTTTTAGAAAGTCTCCTTACCTTCCTTCAGTGCAGCTCTCAATTGCTCACCTGCAGAAAAAGATAACTCAGGCACATACAGGGTATGATGAAACCAGGGAACTAATGTATCTGAGCATTGTCAGTGGCTAAGGAGGAGAAATGGACACACAATAGACAGTAGAGAAGGGACAGGAGAAGGAAGGATCAGGATGACTCACCTAGAGCAAACAAGAAACACCCAAGA